AATGGTTAGTGATTAAAATGTATGCTGGTTAGAAAGAAAAACAAAATAAAAGCAAAAAACCAGCCATACATGCCCTTGAGAAAGCCCCATCAGCAGGCCGCCTGACTTTGCCAGGCTCATGGGCAGTGGCTACAGGCTGGGCCATAGTGGCTGGGCCAGCATGGCTGGGGACAGCCTGGAGCCGAGCCCGTCTGACGCTGAGCTCAGCCTTGTGGACTGACGGGCTGGACTTTGATACGGAAGAGTAGGAGAGCCAGATGACATCACCCCTGTACTAGGAGCCACTCAGCTAAGGTTCAGTGGTCATCCCAGGACGGAGCTATTTGTCACAGTGGGACAGGAGGCAGCTCGCTGGGACTCGCCCAGTGGTCAGCTCAGCTTGGCTGCCTGCAGGGTGGCTCTTCGGCCCACGGGCTTGCATCTGCTAGGCGAGGCCACTCCTGGGGCTAGTGGTCCACAGCCTCGGCTCCTGTCCCAAAGGTTGGAGGTCCATGCCCAGCCCAAGGTGCCCAAGAGAATGTGACCTGCCAGACCCTCTGTTCACGAAGGAACCCTGGTGTCGATGTGGGGATGAGCTGGCCCGTGCTGCCCTTAGAGAAACACTGCCGTGACACAGGGCTGGCAGGCCAGGCAGTGGGCAGAGTCCCAGCGGTGGCGGTGGGTGTTGGTGGAGTGGCTGAGTCACTCAGTGCCCACGGAGTACTGAGTGTCCCCAAGCAAGGGCACCCAGGAGCAGGAGCAGGGGACAGAGTCCAGTAGAGGGACTGGGGACCCCCATGGATAATGGACAAATCGTAGCTTCTCAGAGCCAAACCTCTGAGCTGGGGACGTACAGCCAGCTCTGAGCTGGGTCAGAAGCCTCTCGGGGCGGCCTTACAGGCTTGGTTGTTACAGCGCTGCCCAGACACCCCATACTTCACTGAGAGTGAACGCACACGCGTGCACGTGCACCGACCCACCCCAGCCCTCCCATTGAGGGTCACGCTGTGTGCACACGTGCAGGGGAGAGCCTGAAAGCCACAGAGGGTGGGAAGGGGCGCCAGAGGGGTCCTGAGTGTGTGAGCGGCCCACGCATACCTGGGTACACATATGAGGTGTGTGTGTGAGTGGAAAGTGTGTGCCCGCAGGTGTGTGCATTCATGCACAGGTAAGCTGTTGAGGGGGTGAGCCTACACACGCGTCAGGGTGTGCTCATGAGCAGGTGGATGTGAGCCCGTGGGTGAACACGCAAGTGTGTCTGGTAGTGTGAGTGCGAGATCTGCACATGAGCAGGGTGTGTGTGCCTGTGGATGTACACACTTGCGTGCGCACTCACGGAAATGTGGATCTATGAGTGCGTCTGAGGATGAGTGCACACGAGTGTGCAGATGTGCACATGAGCGGATGTGAATGAATGTGAGCCCACGGATGTGCGCCTTAACCGAGGTGGGGTATGGCGAGTGTGATTAGGAGTGCATGTGCATGAGTAGCTCAGTGTGTGCAGCATTCTAAGTGTGGGTGCGTGGAGCGCATCTCTCCAGGAGCCCTGACTCAGCTTGGGACCAGCTGCGGTTTTGCATGGTGGGCGCCTGGAAGCCCACCAGGCCTGGAAAGGGATCCCGCCCCAGCCCCTCTTTGCCCCGCCCCCCAGCACCCGCGCAGCTGCCCTCATGGATCCCCAGTAGAGGAATAAGCGTCTGGAGGTGCCCAGCCCCCAGCCACTAGCTCCCACAACACTTGGCCACCCCTGCTCTTCTGCCGCCCCTTCCCGGTGAGCGCCGGGCCTCCCAGTGGGCCCTCGCCACACCCACTGGCGCCCTGGGCGCGCCTCCCACGCCTCCCCGTGCCACTCGTACATCCTCGCACCCCTTCGTTCCCCACTTCTCCCTGCACCCCTGCACTTTCTCGCGCCCCCTGGCACCCCTCCCCACACCCTTGTGCCGCAGGTTCTGGCTGGTACCAGCAAGGAAGCCCCTTCCCTCTCTTACCTAGCGGCCCCAGTATCCCCTACAGCTGTAACCAGCAGTCCTCTGAGTACAGGGGGCTCGCGCCCGGGGTCCTCCCCCCCTGCATCCCGAACCCTCCATGCGCACTTGGGAGCAGAGAGGGAGCTCCGGATTTAGGGTAGAAGAGGGGCAAGGCACCCTCAGCGTCGCTTGAGCCCAGCGCAGACCCCTGGTCCCCCTGCCGGGGACCCGCCTCACCTGCGCTGCAGCTCCTCACCGAGTGGAGTGTTGCTACAGGGGACTGTGTTCGCTCCCAGGGCTTCCCCGCCAGGGCGAAACCGAAAGGAGAGGTGGGTGGGACCAGGATTTCTGACAGAAGGCAGGACGACTTGAGGAAGCCAGTTTCAGGAACTACGCCAGGTTCGCAGAAACGTTTTATGACCCGTTCTTGGGACGCTGACTGTTTATATTAGAAGGCTGTGCTCCAGGTGCAGAGATGGTTTGGGGGTAACCCCTGGCGCTTCCCAGGGGAGGGGAGGTTCACCTGGGTGCAGCCCCACATTACCACACATACATACTCAAACAGGCGCACATTCACACAGGTGAACACTCACACACACACACACACACACACACACACACACACTACAGGCACAGACGTGAACATACACACAGGCACACAGTTTCACACACAGACACACGGGAGCATGCACACACAAACACAGCTATGGACATGTACATAGAGAGACACATGTGGGCATGCATACACACATGCAGGCATGCAGACAAACATGGTCACACATGCAAACACTCACACATACACACAGGCACAGGTGTGAACATATACGCAGACACATGGGAACACACATACACATAGACACTCATGTGAAAATGTACACACATGCAGGCACACATGCAAATGTGATCACATGTGTGAACACATGTGAATATACACGTGGGTACACATGCACACACATGCATGCGGTCACAATTGCAGGCCCAGGTGTGAACATGTTCCAACTCATGCACGTCTGGGAACCCTCCATTTGGGGGCCTGGCTGAGGAGGGGCCCAGGAGGGGCAGCCCTAACTGGAAGGTGGGCAGTGAGGACCCTTGGTGCTCTGAGGCCGGAGTGTGAGACCACTGACTTTCCCAGGGAAAGTCCAGAGGAGGTTTGGCTGTCCCACGGGCAGGAGCACGCAGAGCTGGGTGATTTTGACAGTTTGGTTTACAGGAGGGGCCCAGAGAGGACACGCATGGCGACCCTCTGAGGCCGTGGGAGGCTGAGAAGGGCTGGAGGCACAGCCTAGGCCTTCCGCCCCTCTGGAGGGAGGAGGCTTGCTTTGTGGGTAGATGTGACCCGGACAGAGGACAGCTCCACTCGGCCGTCAGGGCTGGGTGGGGCAGGTGGGGCAGGTAGGGGCCAGGACTTTGCATGTTGGCTGACGGCTCCAGTCTGTGTACTCTCACCCACGGTTTAAAAACAAAACCAGATTATTTTGAGAGTTGTAGACGTGTGCGATAACGCAGTCAAAGGTTATAAGAACATACAACACAACAGTCACGGGTGCATGGCCCTGTTCTCCGCCCTGATGTTCCCATCCCCTCCGTGGTGAGGCTGCAGCCCCCTAGGAAGGGTCTATGCCAGAGAAACAGGTGCTGGCACCGGCGGGATGCACCCCTTTCTGAACAGTGTGGGGGTGCCGGGCTCCCTCGGGGCTTGAAAGGGGCACTGGGTTCATTGATTTCCAACTTTTTCTTTTCCCAAGGGGGATGGGGGACAAATTCCAGGGAATTTCCCTGCCGGCTTAGGACTGTTATATCCCTGCAAAGGTTTCACTTTTCTTTCAGGGTTTATTGTTCTCCTCTCTGACACCGGCTCGATCTTTGAGTTACCTGGGACCACATTCTCCCCTTCCCGGAGTTTTGGGCTTTCTTGGCCTTTTTTTTTACCTTTTCAAAAAAAATTAAAAGAAATACATATTTGTTATTTTCCCTTCTTATTTTGCTATTGACTTGAAATATTCTAACTTCTACCCTTATGCTCTGGGGGCTCCCTTGTGAGGCGTGTGTGCGTGTGGGGTGAACAGTTGTCAGTGGTCTGTCCTTGAGAACAATGAGTGTTTGCAGGTGTCCTGGGTGGTGGGGGGAGTGCGGGGTCTGGGGGTAGCTGAGAGCTTTTACAGATCACTGGTTATTTTCCTCAGTTCCTGATGACAGAGAGGTGGGCAGGGGTTCCCCACTGGGACAGGGGCTCACTTTCTTTTTAAAAATCATTTTATTGGGCACTTGTACAACTCTTATCACATTCCACA